GAAAGGTTGGAAAATTGTTGCTGATTAGTCTTCCACCATTGCAATACATCCAACTCTGGAAACTGGTGACTATCAAAGGAAGCTTCTTCCAAATAATAGTCTAATTTAAATTTTTCAATAGAAAAAACATTCCTACTCTTGAAATTAAGAAAATCCTATATTTACAAAATAAAATAAAAGATATCAAACAAAGAATTATAAACCAATAAAAATAAGATAATATGTATTAAACAAATAAGAACTTCCACCATAAACTTGAGTCCAAGACATGGCCGGCTCCTTCTTCTTCTCTACCATCCTTCCACTTGTGCTTGAGCTTGGTTGACTTGGTATTGGAGTTGAACTTAATGTAAGATTATTAAAAGATACATCCATATCTTTGTATTGATCAAATATATAATACAACTTTTGCTTGATGTGATCAACTTTCATGTAATAATTCACAGTATCAATTAATGAGTAAGAAAATTTGATTGCTTCAAGCTTTGCTCGTGGATCAAAAACACTTTCAATTGATAAGATCACGCTATAGTCACTCCAATACTTGTCAAATTTCTCTTTCATTCTAGTTGCTATATTAGAAATCATTTGATCACGATTGCTAATGACATCATTCAATAGAATCTCAACTTTTGCTATTTGTCCAAAATACATGTTTAAGGTCGGATAAGATGTGCCAGAAATTAAAGTTGTAATCATTGCAAATGATTGCCAGAAAGAACACATTTCTTTTACTCTCCTCCACTCTTCATTTGATAAGTAATTCTTAAAACTAGTGTCACAACAAGACAAGCAAACAAAGTCTCTTTTTATATCTAATTCCACTTTCAAGCATATCATAGGTGAAATTTCATCTAGTAGGCACATATAATCGCAATCCTACTGAAGTGTCAATACCACTAACTTGCTCAACATATTGCCTAAAAATTTTCATCCTTAACTCAAACATCTTAACATACTTAATGCTGTCTTGAATTTTACTTATTACAACATTTGTCACCTTTAAATCTTCTTAAACTATCAAGTTCAAGATATGTGCATAACACCTCACATGAAATAATTTCCCATCATAAATTAAGTTATTTTGCAAAATCAACTTCTCTTTCAAGATCTCAGTCATAAAATCAATTACAGATACATTGTCTAAAGTAATAGTAAAAATCTTCTTTTCAATCCCTCAATCACACAAGCTCTCAAAAATTTTGCAAGTTAATTCATGTATAGAATGTGAAGGCTCCATGTTACAAAAAGAAAGTATTTTACTGTTAAGTTTCTAATTTTTATTCACAAAATGTGTTGTCAAGCATATATAACCTTCAAATGTTATGACAGTCCAACAATCTGAGGTCAAACATATCCTACTAGGACTATTTGGCAAAATCACCTTCAACTTATCTTTTTGTAGCTCATAAAACCTCATAATATCTGATATAGCAGTTTTTCTACTTATAACCTTAACATTAGGATTACATTCCTTAAGCAGTTGCCTAAAAAGAGGAAATTTAACAAAGGAATATGGCAAATCATATTCAATAATCAACATCCCTAACAACTCTCGTATACGCATATTATTGATTTGTCCAGATCTAATATTGCTTTCATTATCCAACATCCTTAAGCTGATATTATGAAACTTTAAAAGAGCTACACATTGTTTAATATGATGACTTAGATGTGAAGTGCCATGATTTCCACCATATGCTAATAAAGTGCCACAATCATTACACTTTGCCTTTGTTGCCTCCTCTTCATTAACCACCTTAGAAAAAGACTTCCAAACATTTGAGATACAACTTTTAGTTTTCATAGGTGGTTTTTGGTTAAATGTAGTAAAATTAGAGGGAATTAATTCTCTTTTATTGTCCCCATCCATTGATTTTTTATTAGTTTTATTAATCTTGGCACTATATGATGACATATTGTAAACAACACATGAATAATAGACTTAAATAAAAAATAAAACAACATAGCAACAAGTCAACAACCTAACAACTACGGCAATAATAACATTAAATTGAAGCAACACATCAAATTGCAGACACATGAATAATAACCCAGCAACACAGCTTTTCATATGTAAATTCAAGGATGAAGCAACTTAGGGGAGTGACTTACCTTTCATATATAAAGCAAAATCAGAGAGAGATAAAGAACTAGACATACCTGAAGGCTGATGCAGAGTCCTAAATCCCAAGTTATGGAGTTAGAGAGTGAGCACGAAGCTTAAGAGAGCAAGAGTGAGCATGAATCTTAGGAGAGTAAGAGTGAGCATAAAGATTAAGGTTTGAGAGGAAAGAGAGACTGAGTCACTGATATTGAGAAATGATTCTTAGAGAGAGGAGGGCAAAGACATTAGCAGCCAAGACATGAAGCTTAGGAGAGCAAGAGGATGAGGATGAGCCATCGAAGTTGAATTTGAATCTTATGAGAGCAAGGAAAAGGATGACTAGCTAGCGACGACTGGGCAAGGATGAGGATAAGTGATCTTGGCAACCTGAATCTGAAGCTTATGAGTTATGAGAGCAAGTAAAAGGATATTGGCGAGTGGCAACTAGATGAGGATGAGAATGAGTTATCTTAGCGACCTGAATCTGAAGCTTAAGAGTTATAAGAGCAAGTAAGAGGACAACTGGGGAGCGGCGATTGGATGAGGATGAGCTATCTTGACGAGATGGCAACTTGAATCTAAAGCTTAGGGTTACTGGTGTGAGGATTGAGGCATGACTCATTTTGGTCGTGTGATTTGTGACTGGCTCGTGTAAGGTATGACTGGTAAGTCATGACTAGCTCGTGTAGTTGTGTTCACGTCTTTAGACTTCAGGCTTCACTCTTTAAGGAAGCAAGGATGACAGTGTTTTGGCTTAGGAAAGGGGAGAAAAAAGGAAACCAGGCTTAGAGGGCCGCTCGGACTCGAACCCATTTTTTCAGGGCTTAAAAGGGCCAGGTTCTGAAGTCCAGTTTCCTAAAAAATAGCTCATTTTTTAAGTTCGAACCCTTATAAAAATAGGCTTAAACGGGAGACCCTCTAGGCCCGACCCTTATTTCTGACTCTACTTGTAGATATATCTCATTGTCTTCATCATCCTTCTTCTTACCTCTACTTGCAGCTGCGACATGTGTGTTTATTGTAAGGAGCACCGAATGGGTCTTTGTACTTCAAAGCCCTCGGTGAATCTCACACCTATGTCTCCTAAATCTAAAACTAAATCTTCCAAATTGGTGGCATTGCTCCAACAATGCAATAGAGACTATTTTGAGTATGGTAAGGACCACTTAATTTTTTAGCAGTTCCCAAAATGCTTTGAGAATCCAAACTCTTGTCAAGCCCATCAACACCTCTGCTTTACTCCCTTATGGTATTGTCACCTCATTCGACTTCATCGACCCATGCCGCCTGGCCATCAATGGTGGGAATGGGCGCTTGAAGAACCTTTTTAGTGTGTAAACTTCTTCAAGAACAAATAGTGGGACCGACTCGGGTTGTAAAAAAAAAAAATGGTGATTTTTTACTATTCTTCTCCTCTTTCTTCTCCTTGCTAAAGTTTTCTCTGTTTATACTGCTTGAATGAGGTTGAGGATAGTCATTCACAAGCACAAAGTCATCTCTAGGAGGCATATAGTTATTATTGGGTGAATGTTATTTTGTTTCGATCTTTAGTAATTATTATATAGATTGTTATTGAAATAGGCTTGATAATTGATTAGTGGTCGAATCATATGGTTGTTGTCTCAAGATTACAATTATTCTTGTTGAAACTTGAGGAAAGTGGTTGATTTGTTGACATCTAATGAATATGGATTTTGTTCTCATAGTTGTCCAAATTTTGATTACACACAACACAGAGATGTAGCTGTGCCTAAGATCTAATGTTGCGATTGTTGCAATTAGAGGGTAGAAGAAGAATGAAGAAGACGGTGAGATACCCTTTTTGGTTTACGCGCCTTCAAAGTTAAAACAAGGAAAGCCACATAGCTGGTCAAAAGAAGGGTCTGGTTAAGCCAAGTTAGATTTTCCTAGACCCTACACAATGACAAGTCATGAGATAATGGGAGAATAAATGGCAATTTGATAGAAGGGGATTTTTGCTCCCTTAAAAAATAGTTCAAGAAAAAATTTGCCCTACCTAAGAAATTTGCTCAGTGCTTCTAAAAAAAGTATACGGATGAAATTGGATTTTAACACTTAAAATAATTATATATAATATAAATAAAATTAGTAAAATAATAGTTATTTTTATTATTTTATATTTTTTATATATATTTTTGCTTATTATCTTTACTATTCATATATATATATATATATTGTGCTAATATAAGAGTATGTCTTGACATATGTCTTTTATCTTTTTTTTTTAATCAACTTCATTTCTTAACTCAAATTCAACATAGTAGAAGGTTAAGACTTAAGATTCTTCTTTCTGGTTTTAAAAAAAAGAGAAGGGTAAGATTCTTCTTAATTAGTGTATATAAAAAAATATTCTTCTTAATTATTTAAGAAAATTTAAAAAATGAGTATGCCAAAATTAGAAAAATTGAGAATAAAAAATTAAAATTATATTAAGTAAATCCAAGAGTTTAATAAAAATTCTGATAATTCTGTCTAATAAAATAAATTCCTATTAAAATCTTATTTGATATAAATTTTTTTTAAAAAACAATACAATTATCAATTCCTATAATTTTTAGTCTATTTAATTTTTTCAGTATTTTTAATCTTTATAATTTTGAAAAGTTTGGATGACATTTGTTACTTAAGAGTTTCATAGTTTTTAATGATTTTTTTTTCCACAAGAATTGAAAATATTAAAAAATACTACATAAACTAAAAATAAAATTTAATCAAACTGTAAAGCTTGATAATTATTTTTTTTTCTTTTTTTAATGCTATTTAATACAGAGAAGTTAACTAGTTAAGTATGAATTTATAAGTTTAAATTAATGAATAAATTTTATTAGTTGGAGTAATCAATTTTATTATTTGAATAATTAACTTTGGACCTAAACGAAATTCTTTTCAAAATTAAATTCTAACCCCCGATAAACCCATTCTCGTCGACGACAAGCTTCCCATACTCTGTCGGACGCCGTTCACCGTTCTCAGCCCTGCGTGGTTGTTCTTGTACACGCAGTGAAGAAGGTTCGAACCCTAGGTCTTTTTCTACTCCCCAAATCTGCTGAGATTGATTCGTTCAATCTGGTTTTGAATCTAGATTTGCATTTGTTCTCCACGTCATCTGTTCCCTGCGTGGCTGTTCTTGCTTTGTTTTTAAAATTTTCCTTTTAATTTGGCTTTCAATCTGGTCGTGTAATCGTTGAATATTGACGCCTTTGAATTTGTGAATAATGGAAAAATTGGACTTTCTGAAGTCTTAACTTTTGAAGTGAGTTTGATACTTCCATTTTTTTTTAATAATTAGTAGCTACATGGAAAAATTATTGAAATGCTTGTGTCTGAGGAAATGTGTTTCTTACTCGTGCAATATAACATGTCATAGCGGTATTTTATGGTGATACTGAAGAGTGACGATGGCATACCTAGCGAACTGTTCTCAAGTCTGGACTGATAGTTTGCTTGCTAGTCCTTATTTGTTAAACTAGTTCCATTCTTTTTTCTTCGAAGTGCTTTTTCAGACATGAGTTGCTAGGGTATGCAAGAATTAAAGACAAATACTGTGCAGTTAAATTCTGTAAAGTTATTCCTTTTTTATTGTGAATGATTACAATCCTAATATGGACGTAGTGGTTGGTTGCTGCAATGGTGCAAGTTACCGTAGCTTCCATGTTTAGTCAACTTTCAGACATGTCTTGGTATGACCTTTTATATAGTAATTGAATGAATCATTTTACAGGTTGAGTCTTTTTTTGCCCCTATTCTTGATGCATTATATACTTGAAAAATACAATAAAAAAGCACAAGCCTCTTAAGTTAAATTAGGTGGCTGTTTGTATGTAGCAAAAAGTGGCCTTGGCAGGGGCTGGGTTGGGCAACCCCAGCCACAATAATTCATGGCCGCCAAGCAGTTGGCCCATTTTGACACCTTAGTTTTTCATGTGTATGTAATGTTATGTTCTGGCAAGCGATGTAGATTTGAGGAAAGTTTCTAAGTGACTTTGTGCCAGTATAGATTACATGCTCCCTACATATTTTTATGAACATGATATCTGGAGATGGGTTTTCATGTTAAATTGGTGATTTAGATATGTTGTAATATTTTGAATTTTTTTGGCAGTGCAATTGTCTTCAACGTGATGTCCTTGAGAATTCTTCTTATACTTTTAGTGGCTTACAAGACTTTCTCTAATAGTTACCTTTCAGAGTTTCAATTTTGATAGGAATTATAACAAGAAGCACTGGAACTTTCTATTATCTTGATGTTTTTGCTGGTCTCACTTCCACTTCCTCTCATGAATCTTCATGACTCACTGAGATTAAAACCTTTTGGCTTGGATGAAATCTTTATTTGGATGACAGGATTTGGACTTTTGAATTCTTTGTGGTCTATTCTTTCTTACAGTTCATTATTTGTTTGGATGACATGATTTTAAGAACCCTTTTAAGATGCAGAGTTCCATCTAAGATGACGTTTTTCATTTGGACTGTAAGATGCTTTTTTATCCATGAAAAGGTCCATCCTCCTAATAATTTCATGTTTTGTAGATACCTCAATGATATTCACTATTGTTCTTTCACTTGCTCTATTAGTTAGATATTGTTATGGATTTCTCTTGTTTGTATGCATAAGGATACAACAACAAACAACAAAAAGCATTATTTCACTAGGTGGGTTCGGCTACATGAATTGCATGATACCATTGTGTTTCATCATCAAGCAAGTTTTTGAAAATATTGTTAACCAAGAGGTCTCGTTCAGTGACTTTCATGAGTATTTTTTTTTGGTCTTCCTCTATCTCTCTTTATAAGACTCAAGACTATCTGTTTTACTCTCCTCACCATTGCTTTCCATGGCCTTCTCTATACATGTTCAAACCATCTCAACAATTTTCTACCATCTTCCCCTGAATGGATGCCACATCTACTTTTTCTTGTATATACTGATTGTGGATTTTATCTTCTCGTGTATGACTATACATCTATCTCAATATTCTCTTCTTTGCTATTCCAGCTTTATGCTCTTGTTGTCCATCTAAAATCTAACATTCACTGCCATATAACATGGCTAGTCTTATAGCAGTGCGATAAAACTTTCCTTTAAGCTTATTAGGTACCTTCTGATCACAAATAACTCATATATCCTTTCTCTATTTAACTCACTTTATCTTGTATCCTATGTGCAATATCCCTATCAATTTCACCATCATTTTGAATAATTGCTCCCAAGTATCTAAACTTTTCCCCTTGTGAATGTGGCTTGATTGTAATGAAGAGATTACTTTGTGATTAATGTTTTTTAGGTCACTTAACTTGAAGGAGCAGTAAATGCATGCTTATCTTCCTCCGCTGGCATGGCCTTGAGAAATTTTAAATTTTCCAAGCTGAAGAAACGAAGTTTTCCATAATAAGGAGAGAGTCTAGGATTTTCAAGCTCTCTGTCTCTGAGCCAGTATCATAACCTTAAAATAATTATCCTTACCTGGCTATACTGGTAATTTTTTTTTTGGGGAACTAGTTAGCTTTACAACTGCTGCAATATGTAAGCTAATGTTTATCCAATCCCATTCTTGCACTCAGCAAAAAGTCTGACTTATTCTTGGAGAATTTATTTTGATTGGTTTCTTTCTTTCTTGGGCAAAGATTTACTGCTTTTATGTGTTTGGCATTTTCTTTGTTAGGTTGCTAAATGTTGATTTGGAGAGTACAATGACCCAGCCAACGGTGATACTTGCAACAGCAAGTTATGATCACACTATTCGTTTTTGGGAGGCCAAAAGTGGCCGGTGCTATCGAACTATCCAATATCCAGATTCGGTTTGACATAATCCTAGCCTTCTTCCACTTAGAAGCATGTGAATTTTTGTGTTATTTGGGCAAATTACAATTTTGGCAAAATTACACTTGAAGGTTTGTCATATGATTGAGCATGTAAATAGAAACCTTATACTGAATTAGATAGTGCCTGATAATGAGGCTTAAAGATGAATTTTCTTCTGAAGTGCATAAATTTGATCTTTGCAATTTTTTGGGCTTCATAATTCATTAATAAATAAAACAATATTGCTGGACTAATCTCATGGCTCTTTAGATTATGAACAGATCTACTCATTCTGTTTTCAATTTAATAGTAATTTGGAAGTGAAATTGGGAGATCAATTATACCTCAAGTGGAAAAGTTTAGATATTTGGGAGCCATTATTCAAAATGATGGCGAAATCAGTGGAGATATTTCACATAGAATTCAAGCTGGGTGGTTTAATTGGAGAAAAGCTAAAGGAGTTATTTGTGACCGTAAGGTGCCTAATAAACTTAAAGGAAAGTTTTATTGCACTGCTATCAGACCGGCAATGTTATATAGTGGTGAATGTTGGGCTCTAACGGGACAGCAAGAGCATAAAGTTGGAGTAGCAGAGATGAGAATGTTACGATGGATGTGCGGACATACACGTAAAGATAAAATTCGAAATGAGCACATACGCGAAAAAGTGAGGGTGGCACCTTTTGAGGAAAAAAATGGTAGAAAATCGGTTGAGATGGTTTGGGCATGTACAAAGAAGACCAAGGGAGGCACCAGTGAGAAGAGTGGAACATATAACTTTGAGTCCGATTAAGAGAGGTAGAGGAAGGCCTAAAAGAACACTCTTGGAAGTTGTTGAACGCGATCTCTTAATTAATAATATTCTAAAAGTTTGATAAATGATAGAGCACAATGGCGTCTTGCAATCCATGTAGCCGACCCCACCTAGTGGGATAAAGGCTTGTTGTTTTTGTTTTTTTTTTGTTGGTGGGTTGATAACTCCCATGTTTAACATTGTGATGCTAATTGTACCTGAAACTTTATTTGGACTGAATAATGCTTGTATTTTATTGATAGGAACCCGATACATATATAGACAGGGGCAGGAGAGAGTGAATCTAATTAAATCCCTAAACACTCTCCTAAAATTTCTAATAATATAAATCTAATTAATGACTCTGAAACAGAAAGTTACAAGATGAGAAGAGAAAAAAAGGAAAATTGGGTTTGAGGTATTACTGGGCCTAGGGCCCAATAATGAGTTATGTATCCAACACTCCCCCTCAAACTAGTGAGTAGATGTTTATCATTCCCAACTTGCCTCTGAATGCTTCAAACTTTTCTTGGGTCAATGGTTTGGTTATCACATCTGCAATTTGCTGTCCTGAAGGGATGTAGGATAGATCGATAGTTTTTGTATCTAATTTTTCCTTGATAAAATGCCGATCGATCTCTATTTGTTTGGTGCGATCATGATGCATCGGATTGTTGGCAATCTTGATTGCAAACATGTTATCACACTATGCTTTAATGGGTCCAACCATGTCAGTCTTGAGCTCCTTTAGAAGTCTAACAATCCACATTCCTTCACAAGTTCCTAGAGCAAGAGCCCTATATTCAGACTCGGCAGAGGTTCTGGAAACTGCTGGTTGCTTCTTGCTTCTCTAGGTCACCAAGTTGCCCCACACATAAGAACAATAGCCAGTAATAGATCTTATATCTATTTTTGACCCAGCCCAGTCAGCATCTGTGAACAATTCTATGCCTCTAATATCACCTTTTGCAAAGAACAGTTCTAGTCTTGGAGTCTTTTTCAGATACCTGAGTATCTTGTAAACTGCAGTTAAATGTTCCTTCTAAGGACAGCTTGAGAACTGGCTAACTACGCTCATTGGAAAGCAAATGTTAGGTCTAGTATGAGATAAATAGATCAACTTGCTCACTAGCCTCTGATATCTTTCTTTATTTACTGCTGTCCCATCAGATCTGATTGTTAATTTTTGGTGCAGTTCCATGGGAGTGTTTGCAGGTCTTGCTCCTAACATCCTCGTTTCCTTCAACAAATCTAGAGTATATTTTCGTTGGGACACACTAATCCCCTTATGCATTCGTGCCACTTCCATGCCTAAGAAATATCTCAAAGGTCCAAGATCTTTGATCTCAAGTTCAGTTGCCAAGTTGTTCTTTAGTTTGACAATTTTCCCGTCATCATTTCTTGTCAAAACTATATTATCAACATACACAATGAGAGCCGTCATTTTTTCATCACAATGTTTAACAAATAGAGTGTCATCTAATTGGCACTGTTTGTATCCTTAAGTTTTAATAACTTGAGTAAATTTTTCCAGCCACGCCCTCGGTGATTGTTTCAAGCCATATAGAGACTTGATCAACTTGCAAACCTTGTGAGAATTATGAGAATCTCGTAATCCTAATGGAATTTCCACATAAACTTCTTCCTCAAGATCACTATTTAGGAATGCATTTTTGACATCGAGTTGATGGAAAGGCCAATCTAGATTTGCAGCGAGAGACAACAGAACTTTTACAGAGTTAAGCTTAGAAATAGGCGCAAAAGTTTCCTGGTAATCAATCCCATAAGTTTGAGTAAAGCCTCTTGCACCTAATCGAGCCTTATATTTGTTTACACTCCCATCAGGATTGTACTTTATTGTGAAAACCCACTTACTACTTACGATTGACTTCCCTTTAGGTAACTCGGTGATTTCCTATGTCTAGTTTTTATGTAGAGCCCTCAATTCTTCTTCAGTGGCCTCCTTCCATTTGGGATCTATGATTGCTTCCTCAAAGTTCTTTAGAATATTTTCATTTTCGACATTAGTTACAAAAGCCTTCAAATGAGGAGATAAACTTTTGTATGAAATATATTTGGCAATAGGATATCTGGTACAATTCCTCTTTCCTTTTCTCAAAGCAATTGGCCAATGTAAGTCCTCAAGGCTTTCCTCAAGTGCAGATTCATGGTTTTGCATTGGTGTGGAAATGGGGTCTTGTATACTCTGGTGCTGTTCAATAGCACTACTAGGTTCTTCCACCCGAGTCTCAGTATCAGGCAGCATATTAAGGGGCTCAAAAGGATTCACATCTTGGAAGTGGGATTTGCTAGAGGAATTTTTGGAATTTGGAGATATTGTTTCAATGGGGTCAAACTGGTTTAAAGGCTCAGAGGTGGAATCATTGTGAGTAGAGGAGATATTTGTAGATAGATCTGGTAATATGTGGTGTTCATGCGGTTGTCCAGATAAGGTAGGCAATTTGTTATGATGATCATTCTCAGGTAAACAAATTGACCATTCATTTTCATTTGTCCCTTTCTCCCCTTGAATGGGTGTTTGTTAAAAAAGGGTTGATTTTCAACAAATTTGACATTCATGATAACATAAACACGATTGGTAACAGGTGAATAACATTTATACACTTTTTGAGTAAAGGAGTATCCCAAGAAGACACACTTGATGGCATGAGAATTTAGCTTCCCCCCAACCTCACTGTACACAAATGTTGTGCACCCAAAGACCCATTTTGGTATGGTTGTTGTGAGATGGGAGTTAGGATAGATCTCGAGAACTTTGTGAAGAGGGGTTTGAAAGTTGAGTTTTAGAGGGTAAACGATTAATCAAGTAGGTAGATGTAAGGATAGCATCCTCCCAAAATTTATTTGGGACATTACTACGAATCATAAGAGCACGATCAACCTCAAGCAAATGTCTATTTTTTCTTTCAGAGACACCATTCTGTTGGGGAGAATAGGCACAAGATGTCTGATGGTGTATGCCATGTTTTTCTAGACTAGATAGGTTTGAAAATTGGAGTTTAAATATTCTCTTCTGTTAGCACTTTGGAGAATTTTTATTGATGTTTGAAGCTGATTTTGAATAAAAGCATGAAAATTTTTGAAGATTGTGAAAACTTCAGATTTTTCTTTCATTAGAAAAACCTATGTTACCCGAGTATGATCATCGATAAAAGTTACAAACCATCTAAACTTAGAATTGGTTTCAAATTTTGATGGACCTCACATACCACTATGGATCAGGGAAAAAGGGTGAGTAGGATTATACTCATTTGAAGAAAAAGAGGTTCGAACTTGTTTTGCGAAGTTGCAAGTATCACACAATGGAAATCAGAAATAACTTATTATTAACATCAGGAAATAGAAATTTCATATATTGAGGACTCAGATGGCCTAACCTAGAGTGCCACAAAACAAAATCTGCACTGGTCATAGTAGAAAAAACAGCACAAGAATTATTTGATGAAGATCCATGGATATAGTAAAGCCCATTCCACTCCTTAGCATTGTCAATCATCTTCCCCAAGGCCAAATCTCGAAATCCACAGCCCTTGTCAAAATAACCATGCAATTCATTTGAATCACAATATGACTCACAGATAACAAACTAAACTTAATAGTCGGAACAAACAAAACATTCTTCAAAATAATATGTTTAGAGATAACAACAGTTCTAGAACCCATGACTTTGGCATATACACCATTAACTACCTCAACAAATTTATGCTCAGAATTTTTAGAAAAATCAGAGAATAATTCCCTGAATCTTGTTATGTGGTCTGTTGCACTAGAATCCACTACCCAAATATTTTTAGATATGACTGTCCCATTTAGAGCTTTGGCAAGAGTAGTACCTGATTGAGCTAAGGTCACAGAAGGGGTTTTTGCCTCACATACATTACCAGCAGTGGAAGAAGCATGTCTTTCTAATACTTTTCGGAGAACTGACAAATCCTCGGCACTCAATGATCCACTTTGTGAGTCTGCAGCAGTCACTATAAACCTCCACTTCACTTTTGGGCTTATGTTTAAAGTTTGAGGGCGTGCCATGTAACTTCCACCACTCATCCTTGATATGACCACCTTTATTGTAGCGATCACACCACTTTCCTGATTTCTTTCCCTTCATTTCTCCTCGGGCAGCAAGAGCAAAAGCATTTTTTGGAAGAGAAGTTGGGATAGTGGGACTTTGAGTTAGTACTTTTCTACTTTCCTCACATCTTATCATATTAAACGTTTCCTCCAGCATGATTGGGAAGAGGCTTCATGCTCATGATTCTGCCTCTAATATCTTCATACGAATCATTGAGGCCCAACAAAAAATCATAGCATCTATCTCTATCAACTAATTTTTTATAATAAAGTCCCTCCCTGTGGCTTGACCACTCATGGATTTCATAGAGATCAATTTGTTGCCAAAATTTCTTTAGGGAAGTATAATATTGAGTTACAGATTTTTCATTCTGAAGAAGGCTTCTAAGGGAACGTTTTACTTGAAAAATGGCAGCTATATTTTCACAAACAGCATAAGTATTCCTGGCTGACTCCCAAATCTCCTTGGCAGTGGTTGCAAGTTGGTAATTTTCGCTTACCTCTATTGTCAAAGAATTCACGAGCCAAGCCATCACCATCTTGTTTTTAGCAACCCAAATTTTATATTGGATGTCATCGAGTAAAGGAGGAGGAGGAACACCTGTAAGATACTTCTCCTTATTTCTCCCTCATACAACCGTTAAAACATTTTGAGACCATTAAAGGTAATTATTTCCATTCAGCCGGTGCATGATCATGATCTGGGTAAAGCTCTCGGATGTTGGGTAATCATGCCAGTTGACCCTCTTTCTCCACTCGACCTAGTTGCACTTGTCATGCTCTCCGACCCATCATTACCAATTGAGCTTTTCTGGCTTCCGTCACTAGTTTGATACACTTGTGGTGGTCGGTTCATGAGAGCTTGAACGAACGACATCAAACCAAAGGAAGAAGAAGAGAAGGAGGACGACACGAGAGCCGAGAGGATCGAGAATGCTGCTCGGATACTGTGAAACTTTATTTGGATTGAATAATGCTTGTATTTTATTGATAGGAACCCAATACATATATAGATAAGGGTAGGAGAGAGTGAATCTAATTAAATCCCTTAACACTCTCTTAAAATCTCTAATAATATAAATCTAATTAATGACTTTGAAACAGAACGTTGCAAGATGAGAAGAGAAAAAAGGAAAATTAGGTCTGAGATATTATTGGGTCTAGGGCCCAATAATGAGTTATATATCCAACAGTACCTTTTGCATGAATAGTTATTGAACTAGTGAGGATGCTATTCAATGATTGATCAAACTTTCTTTCTCTGCAACACAAGCAAATTTTCATTTATAGTGCAGTTTTGATGGCTCTTTGAAAAGCTGTTTGACATTCATCTTTGTCATAATGCAAAAAAAATCTTGACAAACCATATTTGCAAATACTAGGAACCAGGAATATTGTTTGAGTCAAGAGTTAGATGGAAGGAAGAAGGTGTGTTGCAAATTTTTACAATATTGTCATAACTTTTGCTTGTATCAAGTTAATTTTCAACAATAGTTAATAAACAAAATCAGGAAAAAAAAGAATACTCCCTCCGTTCAAAAATATAAGGCATTTTTAACCGAATCTCACTCCTTAACAAAGTAGTTACCTACTTTCAAACTAACCTTATTTTTTCATATTTACCCCTACTAAACACCTATAATAAAGTCACTATCAATAGGGATACTTTTGAAAAAGACAATGATTACACCTCGAAAGACTAAAAATATCTTACATTTTTTAATATCCAACTCTTCAAAAAATGCCTTACATTTTTGGACGGAGGGAGTATGTATCATTCTCTTCAAGAAAATGAATAAATTAAATGTTGAATCACATAAACTTTTATTTTTAGTGTTAAATCATGATATAAAAAATTATCCATTTTTGCGTATTCTTATTGTCAAATGGTTGTTACCTGTGAAGTGTCAATGCCTAAAAAACAAATATTCTGTCTCGTATGTGTCTGACAAACATATAAAATTCATGACTACTTTGAATCGCACTTAAATAACTGCATTTTCTATTCTGTTGCGGTGTTCTTATTCTCTTATGTCATGGGATAATGAAACTTTTAGTCCCTCATGGTTGCCTCAATTACTAATCTGATTCCTTAAATTTAATTTTTATTGATTTGATCCTTTATGTTTGTCTCAGTTATTGACTTAGCCTTTGATATTTAAAGAGGAGGTAACACTATTAAAATCTACTTATATGGATAACAGAATATTGATGGCAGCCATGTAGATTAATAAAAAAAAAAGTAACTATTTAGGTACTCAAATTTTAAAAAACAAAAGAAGAAAACGCATTGTAAAAGACTAGACTAATAAAAATTCAATTGATTTGAAGGCTAATTTGTTCTCATTTAGCTATACATACATGCCAAATCATCATAATATTATGCACATTAAATTAATTTGAGAGTCAATTTATGTTTTGAAAATTAAGGGACCAACATGATTCAAGAAAACGTAATGGAGCAAATCGATAAAAATTAAACTTCGGGGACTAAATATAATTGAGGGAAAAGAGACTAAAAGTTCATTATTTCTTATGTCTTGTTTCCATGTTGATATAATACTTTTAGATCATTTCTGCTTTATGAAGATGAATTATATCTGATGCTTTTGAGATCCACATATAGCTACTAACTTTTCCTGATCTGATTTGTGTAGCAAGTCAATCGGCTAGAAATAACCCCAGACAAACGTTACCTGGCTGCAGCTGGTAATCCTCACATACGATTATTTGATGTAAACTCAAATAGCACTCAACCAGTATGTCTTTCTACTAGTACAATCACTTTAGAATCAACATTCTTTCTGGTTCCTGAGCATTCTGTTCCCAATTGTGTGGTAGGTGATGAGCTATGATTCACATACCAACAATGTAATGGCAGTGGGGTTCCAATGCGATGGAAATTGGATGTATTCAGGTTCGGAGGATGGCACAGTTAAGATTTGGGATTTAAGGTGAAGCTTATGTATTCCAATATGTATTATTCTGAAGTATCAGTTCATGCCCTTAAAATCTGCTAGTAAAATGCTTAAGTTGATGAAAAATTCAGGGCACCAGGTTGTCAGAGGGAGTATGAAAGTCGTGCAGCAGTGAATACTGTTGTGCTACATCCAAATCAGGTTATGTTTAACTGTCTTCCTAGGGCAATTAGAGGTGTTTCTGGCATATAATTATATTATTGACAACGGAAATATTGACGAGAGACATAAAGTGATAATTACCATGTGAATTGTCATGATAGCTTTGGCTAAAACGATCTTTCTCCATATTGTCTATTAGCTTTTTATTATTTTTTCTTCATCTATCTAATTTACTTTCCATTTTAATAAGGCTTAATACCTGCTATTTCAATATTGATTAATTCTTGCAGCAGCTCACTATAAGTGTAGTTTGGCGGCTCTTCCTTGCAAAATATTGAGCTGCAAATAATGGAGATTCATATTACTATAAAATAGTTGGACTGTCATTTGAACACAATGGGAGTTTTGGATAAGCATAATCTAATAAATGCTAAAATAATTTTCTATTAGCTTTTTGGAGTGGATGTCTTTGATAAAAAATATGATATAAAAGGCTATTGCATGTCTCTAGATTTAACAGCATCCTTTGAGCTGCCTTAAGACGGTGAAATCAACATTTATTAGAATGTTTGATGCTCATACTTGGCGTGCTATGCAATTGATTGTGACCAGTGCATGAAGCTTATGCACTTCAAAAAGGAGCCGTGTCCATGTCCAATATATGTTGGACACTTGTAGTAGACATAGACACTCGAGATATTGTGGTGTTGCTCTGTTTCTGTCAGTTTTGAGTCCATGTCCATACGAATGTCTGTGCTTCCTGGGTATGCAATAGCATAGTTATACTGTACTCATGCTTCTTTATTATTGCTTTTCTGCCAACTTTTATGTCTTGAATGTTTTCCTGTCATTATGGACTCTTTGTTTTATCTTTCTTTAGTTACACTTTCATTAGATCGCATTTCTCAGTTCCTCACTTTGCAATTATCATTTATTTGGCATTTGATCTGGCAGACTGAACTGATATCTGGTGACCAAAATGGTAATATTCGTGTATGGGATTTGACTGCAAACTCATGCAGCTGTGAACTGGTATGACTTCTTTTGCTGAAAGTTTCATCTTGTAGAATGTTTGATCTATTCTTTGTTATCATATAGCTGGAATGAAAGAATATGTTAATACTAAACCTTTTGGCTTTATAAATGTGAATGTTGCAGGCATATGATGCTGTCACTTAGACCTCATATCTATTATAATATTGATTCAATTATGTTGCTCCAACAGCATATCTTTTTGTATTAGATTATAGTTATACTCCTTGGTGAAAAGTCATATAACAATCTCTTTATGATTAGGTATATTGTCTTTAGTGCATTCTGATGTACCTTCTCTCATTCCATAATACATGAATGAAACAATTATCATCAACGTCCTGGTGAAATGTAGGTCCCAGAGGTGGATACAGCTGTACGCTCTTTAACAGTTATGTGGGATGGAAGCTTGGTTGTTGCGGCAAATAATCATGGGACGTGTTATGTGTGGCGTCTTTTGCGAGGAACCCAGGTTGTCCCCTCATAAATATTGAAGCTATCCACTTAGCCTTGTCTTGAGCTCAACTCATTTTTCCTTGTGGAGTTTCGTGCAGACAATGACAAACTTTGAGCCACTTCATAAGCTGCAAGCACACGGGGGCTACATTCTCAAATGTCTCCTTTCACCTGAGTTCTGTGAACCCCACAGGTTTTACAGATTAATATCTTGATGGGTTCTCTTTTTCTTCCTTACGAAACCTGTCAGATTAAGGCCTGGGAATCTTTGTGATTGATTGACCACTTGTCATAAATCAATAAGGAACCTTTACAAAGAATTACAAAATAAAAAGAAAAACAAATATAACATACTTTCTTGCCAATCTAATTACTAAAATATTATGAGAATCTTTTGGTCATCAATTAGATTCGGGGTCTAATAAATGATCTACATATTCTGTTCCGAAAGAGGGGGAAAATAGGATCTTCATATGATAGTAGGGAATAAAATTGTACATCAGTGTGCTAGCAAAAAGTATTTGTGTTGGAATGGTGATAGTTTTGAAAATGAAAGCAAGGGATTACTGATTAAAAGTATTTGTTCAATGATTGCTAGTATATTAAACTTCAATTTTTTTGAGACATTATCTCCCCTTTCTTTAGGACAGGCTTGAGATTGTATAATTGCTTATCTTAGTTTCTTTTTGATAGATATTATGTGAGTTTCTTTTTCTTCTTATAATGGGTTTCTATGCCCAAGGCTTTGGAGTTCATTATTATGAAAGGGGCATGATCTCTTTCATCGTTCTCATGAAGTTAAACATCATCAACATTGCATTTACACTCTTGCCATGACACCCTTCCTCACATCTTGAATCATTTTCCTCGTTCTTGAATATAATAAGCTTTGTATGGCCATGCTGTCTGCAAGCATAGTTGTTCTATTGTGTATCTTCCCCTCTTTGTATTATCTTAAATTTAAAATAATAAAATGCGAGCTTGTAATTTTCCATACTAAGAAACATAAAACATTCACAAGTGCACTTGCCTGCTTAGTTTCCTTAAAATTCAGGCAGGGGACTAGATCACCTCCCTGAGCTTGATTGCAGCACCTTCATTGGTATGCCTTTGACTGTTACACGTTCCTATTGAAGTTTTTGGCTGGCTTTATTTTTTACTAGGTATTTGGCTACTGCATCTTCTGATCATACTGTCAAGATATGGAATGTCGATGGTTTCACACTAGAGAAGACTCTAATAGGTAGTTCATGAAGCCTTTTGCGCATCTACTGCGTCTCACGTTTTCTCAGAAGCATTTTAATTGCCTTTACCGACTTGTGCATCCCAGGTCACCAGCGCTGGGTGTGGGATTGTGTCTTCTCTGTGGACGGTGCCTACCTAATTACAGGTACATGGTAAATTTCGAATGGTGGAAACCAGTGATTATGTGGCTTCAATAAGTTGCCTAAATTGAATACTGAGATCAACAAGAAATATTGCTTGGGGCTACTTATAGCTTGTCCAGTTGCACTTAGGCTCAAAATCAGTCTGCCCTCCTGTGGTTTAAATTCTAACGTGTGGTAATTAACACTGTTTGTGGTCTGGGCTAAAATATCATTTTGTTTAAGTATCAATTAACAACCCTATGGTACTTTTCATTTAATTCTATAAATATTAATGGGGAAATGACATTAAAGGACCACAAGATTGAATTGAACTTGAATAAAGACTAAAAAATTTGGAAATCCAAAATAAAGATCAAAAGTTCTTTAGTGAATTGTTATAAAAGTTTACCTCTCATTCCATGATACGCAATTCAAAAGTTCTTTAGTGAATTGTTGTAAAAGTTTACCTCTCATTCCATGATATGCAATTCACAAAGAAAAAATTTAGAAGTGAGATGCACTAATTTGTAAACGAAATTTTTTTCAAATATATCATTACTTGAAAATCGATTTCCTTCACAAATTAACAAATCTTAATTGTAAATTCATGTTTTGAGGGTGTCAGACAAGGGTATGAGAGTAGGAAATAACTGGAAGTGGTGACATGTTTGATAAGTTTCTTCTTCACAAGTTAGTGAATTTGACTTGCCAATTTTTGTTTTGATGGTTGCAAATAATGGATTGAGAGTAAAAAATTTTTAAATCAATTTGTGGAAGAATATTTGATCCTTATTTTGGATTTCCAAATCTTTTGGCCCTTATTTAAGTTTAATTCAATGTTTTGGTCCTTCAATGTCATCCTTCCATATTAAAATCATGAACATTTTCATTGTTAAATGTTTGGTTCATGTATGTGTTGAACATTTTCACAATATTACAATGGTATTGCTAGGATTAAGTGGATAGTTTGACTTCAAAACATTATTTTCGTGCATGTACTAGTTTTAGAAGACTGAAACAACACATATTTTCATCAATGAGACTGTTTATCAATTTGACTTTAGGTTAAGGTTTATTTTTAACTCTGAACTTTTTTCCAAAGAGCGCTAGACACCTTGTATTGATGAGTGAGACAATTTTCTTTTTGAATCATTTTTTTGATGAGCAAAAAAATCCTTTCTGTTAGTCACCCAATAACTTTGTTGTTTTTTGTTGATGTGGCATGTGCAATGGGTCCATGCACAATGACAAGTTGGATTATGACTATGTTTTTAGATGCTAGTTTGCCTGTAAATTCTTTTTTTAGGAGCATCGAGCACCCTGAAATCTTTTTAAAATAAAATTTAATAAATATTATAAAAATATTAAATATTTAATCATTTAGATATTATTATTTATAAATATTCATTCAAAATTTATAAATTATTTTTTGAATATTAACAGTGCAAATTAGTTTTTCAGAAATTATTAGATGACTTGTAATTTTTAATATATCAATCATATTTTTAATATTGATTAAGTTCCTTAAACATTTTAGGGTCTTTTTTGTAATTTATTGGTCAACTAATGGTCTTCCTTTAAAATATTACATCATCCAAATTTAATATCTTGATATTTTGCAACTTTGTATTAAAAATAGAGGGAATGAACCTCCAAATTAACAGAGAGATTTTTTATTTTATCTCTCCATTATTCTCTTGTTGAGTAGCTCTTTTTGTAGCGCATTAATGAGATTGGCAATATCTTGTAATTAAGCATTTCTGTTGACATGTTGGTCCTGTTTTCTCATGTATATGATTTTATTTCTAACACTATAGCTTATAGAGGCAGAGAGTATTGAATTTGGGTGGGGCAATATTTTGAACCAAGACCATTAGTTGGTTAAAAGAAATTACAGAGAATGATTTAAATTATTTAGGGAACTTGATCAATATTAGAAGTATGATTGATATAAAAACTTATAAGTCATCTCCTATAAATTTTTGAAAAATTAGTTTAAGTTGTTAATATTTAAAAAATAATTTATAAATGTTGGATGAATATTTATTGATAATAATATTTGATATTTGATATGTTAATATTTTAACTATTTTTAAATTTTATTTTAACAAGATTTTAGGGTATATAGTACTTTTGGAAAAAAAAGTTCAGGGCTAAATTAACATTAAAGAACATGTTCAAAGTCTTACTTGTCATTGCACATGGGCTCCATGCATATACCACATTGTCAAAAAATGACAGTTAATGGGTGACTACAGAGGGGGTTTTTTGCTTCTTGAAAAAATGATTTAGGAGTTGCCCCACTTATTGATACAAAATGCCCAGGCTCTTTGAAAAAAAGTGCAGGGGTGAAAATAAATTTTAACTCTTTACCTTTCACTTGATTGCTTTTATTAAAATCATTAGTTAGGTGATAACGAAGCAAACAATAGTAGAGCTAAATGAGATATTTTAGAACAGATGTCGATAATTATAATTTTGCTTTGTTCTATATTTTATAAGCAAAAAAATTTAGGTGAGTTGAATCCCAGTGGCTTATCAAGGTCAGGGCATGCCTTTAGGCTCAATCAGTGTTTAGAGGTACTTACAGCAATAAGGTCCTCATATCGACAATGAGATTTGATCTCACAACCGTATAGATTATAGTTCAAATTTTTACTAACTGAACCAATATTTATTGATTATAACATCCTTTATATATTCTTGTTATTATTACTCCACAGTATATTTTTTATGATTTTTTAAAGAAAGGAGGCGAGCGCTGTTTCACATCCCACCTACCCACTATTTTAGCTTTTCCCTTTCATTTCATTTCATAACATTATTCCCAGTCAAAGATGTCCTGAATTGTTTCAAGCCAGCATTATCTTGTTATTGCAGCTTCATCTGATGCAACAGCAAGGCTTTGGTCTATGTCGACTGGTGAAGATATTAGGGTTTACCAAGGTCATCATAAAGCTACAATTTGTTGTGCTCTACATGATGGGGCTGAACCCACAGCATCCTGAAGTAAACATGTTCAGATCTGTCTGCTTTTCTTCTTTTTTTCGTTTTTTTTCCCCCAGAAAACCTTAGATGTATCTTGTCTGTGAATAAACAACCTGGTTTGTTCTTGGAAGGGGTTGGGTGGATGAGATGGGAAGGTGTTTCTATGGTGTTTACTTATTATTGGTCTACGGTTTTTGTATTAGCTGTCAATTTGATTGAGGTTTTGATTGTGTTGAATTGGAACTTTTGTTGTCAAATAAGGTAAATATATATTTTTTTTGGGCCAAAGAAATAAGGTAAATATACTGGTATAGTAATATGTCGTGTTCATTTTAAATTTTCCTGTAATTATTGCAGGGGGCCCGATTCTATATTCATGCAAATAAATTGATTTTTTTTTATTTGTTTAACCAACAAAGTAAATTGAAAGTTGATAGATGTTGAATTTGAATCTTCATTTAGTACTTAGTTTATAAAATCCTGTTGAAACGAGAAAGATGAAGAAAGAAATTTATTCACTCCCATTTTGTGATGTTCATTTATTTTAGGCTACGTTTGGTGTCATAGAATCTTGAAGTTGGAAATGGAATCATAATAGGAATTCTTATCAAATGATGTTTGGTATACAATAATCACAATTCTTTGGAATTCCAAAAAGCTAGAATTGGGTTCTATGTAGATACCCATGGAATTGGCTTGATTTTATAGACTTAATTTGTAATCCCACTCCTGCCAACATTGTCACTCCACCCTAACCCCTTTGCCCTCACCCGCTGGCATCCCTCTGCTACCATAGTGTCTTTTCCAGCAACGTTGATTGAGAATGCAGAGGGGATTTCCATGGAAAATTCAATGTAGTAGAAAATGGAGAGCATGGCTAAGATCCCGGAAGTGGCGTGGGACAAGACAATGGCAGGTCTGGTGTTGTCATGAGCTTCTTGGCTGGTGAGGATGAAGATTCAAGTACTGATAATGGAGTCGAAGCTGAACTAGATGAGGTCCCACCAGTTGATGCAGCGTTTTTTTGTTGTTCTTGATCTCCTTCTTAATCTCGTCAGTCTCGGTGGTGTCGTCAGATCTTCTCACCAAACGATCCTTGAATCTTATTGGTATCTGGGCAAGTGTCGTTTTCTAGCGGGTCTAGTGCCAGAAGGATTGCTTCGGTAGGAATCTTGCTTTCTCCATCTTCTCCAGTAGATTCTCTATGGCTGAAGAAGGAGGATCCTCCATGAAATTGGAAGCCATTATTATTGATTTTGAAGTTGTTTTGCAATAACTCAAGTGAAGATGTTGCGTGGCCAGCAATTCTAAAATTCTACAAGGGGTCAATCTATACAAACAATAATCTTTGGTGACAGTCCACAGCACTCCCTCTTTTCCTTAAACTCTTGTTCATCCATGGATTATTGCCTCTATACATGGTCGAGTTTCAACGTAATTGAGGCATCCTAATCGAGTGACCTTCCTCTTATTCATGGCGGGATTAAACATAAGCGTTAATTTTCATTCTTTTAATTTTTTTTAAATCCCGGCTAGAAATAGTGTTGGTTTTGGCATGTGAAATTGGCTATTTTAAAGGGGGTAGTTTTTGGAAGTCATGGAGGTGTGCACTGTTACCAGCGAAGTAAAAGGAGGGACACGAAGGAAAGGTTTTTTTTTTTTTTAAGGGGTGTTCTAGTCTTTTCTTATTTTAAAATATATATCTATTAATATTATATTAGAATTCTATCATCATACTAAACACACTCTCAAAACCTAAGCATGGGAGTAACCACAAAGAAGGTAAGTGAACATGTTAAACCAATTATTGCAAAGAGAAGATAAGGTATAACAAATATATGTGTGTGTGTGTGTGTGTGCGAATGCAACAAACACAAGCCAAACACAATTCAAGGGATATCAGTCTTGAAACTCTTGAAACTGATACTAAATTGTAAGGTTCGCTTTGACATTACCAAAACACCACACATAATACTATCATGATAATTAGGATTAAGTAAATCTATATATTAAGTTATCACAATAGATAAGGGTTAAAATTTAGAAGAGTAATTAAAATTGGGAGTCCAATAACCCTTTTTAAAAATGTGTTTGAGCTCAAACATAAGTATAGATTGTCATTTAAAAAGACATGAAAGCATGGTCCAATAAACAAGCAAAAGAAGATCACACAGGCAAAATGGGCAATTGGCCCATCTTGCGCCATTCATTGCAGTGAATGCTCCTTATTGTTGTAACATCCTAAGTCTTCAATTTAAAAATTTTAAGTGTTTATAAGGGTGGAATAGTAATTTCAAGTGAATTTTTATTAATGATGTTTGTAAAGACCAATATAGTTTTTGGATCGCTGGACAGCCTTAGAAGAGGACTAAATCGAAATTTGAGAGGGCCGTGGCACACAGGAAGGCCCAAAACGAGCCTAGAGTTTTTTGTATCATGCGTTGTGGTGCACATTCAAAATCAACATTTATTAGACTCGTGAAAACGAATTGAAATTAGATGCGAGGAAGAGGAAACGTGAGAAAGCAATGAGCAATAACCTGAGGCTTCTACGGCTCAACCTTTGGAGTGATTTGGAGGCATCTAGAGCTTGAATTATCATTGGCTAAGTTTTCTATTCCCTCTTCTCCCTCATTATGCAAAATTTCTAACTTATAGGGTGTTAGGGAGCTTGTTTTCGGTTAGTCTCAGACAATGGACGAACCTATGGCCTTAAACAAGGTCTTAGAGAGTTAAATCAAGCCTCTAATCCTAAGCTTATAGGTCTAATTTGGATTTAAAATTTTTATTGAGGGTTTGGACGAACTTTAAGTATATTTGTAAGTTTTTAGACAATATGAACAGTTGGTTAATAATTTTGATATGTTTGGATGCTTAATAGAATTGTTGGAGTATTTTGGAAAGGTGAATGTTGTTAAATTAGAGTTCGAGAGTTCTAGGTACTTAAAACCTAGTAAATTTAGGGTTATTTAGAGTGATAATTGATAATTATCACTTAATTGTGTAAATTAAGGGTTACTCGAGTGTTATTGTGCAAGTGAAAATGCGTGGAGCTAACATTGAGCCACAATAACCCTTTTTTGTGATAAAAAGGTTTGAGGTATTGGAATAATTTACACTATTTAATTATATTACTTAACTGTTTGTGGGTAGATATATATATATATATATATATATTACATGTGATTTGAAAGCATTGTATATTACAAAATATGATTTTGTGCATATGAAACGATTCCCAAAGGATGAAGATTGTGAAAGTCTTATATGAACTTAATGAGAATTTAATATGAATATGTGTTATGTATGAGATGTGTGAGCATAATCATGATAGGGGGTGGGAGTTCACCTATAGGAAGGAGAAGTGAAAATTCATATGACATGTATCTCCTTAGTGCCTAGTAAGGCACGATGTTGGACATTATCTCCTTAGTATCCAAGTGGGATACGACATTAGAGATTGACACTCCTTAACATCAGTGATATGGTGTTGGAGTAACGACACCCTGATTCTTGTGCAATAGGGGAGACCATAGTTCATAAGTGAAATAGGACACCTTTAGCTGAGTGATCCTACCACTAAAAGTGAGCTTGAGCCATTGTGAACGTGTACTTGGTCCAATAGCCTATGTTTCAGTCGAGTGATATAGAGGTTCGAATGGTAGAATGATTATGCTAGAAAGGAAATGAATCATGATGAATGAAAAGACTGTGCAAAGCATACTTAAGGCATGATTTTGCGTATATTAGCTTTATTTCCTTATGGTTATGCATGTTAATTAATAGTAATAAATTATTCTATTACTGAGATGTTTATCTCACCCTATGGTTATATTTTATAGGTGAAGGCTCCGATAAGGGCAATGGGAAGGAAGGAACGACCGTAGAGTGAAGAGCTTTGTGTGTATAGCTTTTCCCTTTCTTGTTTTGGGTTTGTAATGAATATGTCATGTTGTATGCCAATTTAGGAGCATTACATTGTTTTGTTATAACTTGTATAAGGATTTGTGAAATGTATGTGTATCTCAGCCTTAAATTATTGTGTTTGTGGGTAAATGATTGTAATCAGCTAAAATAATAATACAAGTGATTTATTGTGATAGCTATGTGTTGAAAAATGACCAAAATGATGTTTTTACTGAATTTTTTCCACCCCTTTGTGTTGTTGAGAATTGAGAGTTTGGTGGTCATTTTGTGTGTGAAAGGTTATTTGTGTGATGTGATTGGTATAATGTGTTATGTATAGTCTATTTGAGTTGGTCAAAGTGATTCTAAGGCTAATGGCATTAGGAGATGCAATTTAGACACCTCTTTGTTTGAGATGAAAACAAATCATTGTGGATTTAGGTGTCCATCTTTTTAATGGATAATTATTTGGGTATGAGATCGGTGCCATTAGCTAAAGGGCTCGAAGAGCTTCATCTAACATAACAGCACATAGCAGTTGCACCACCACGCAATACTAGTTGAGGAATTTGTCCATCTGTGCCATCTATCATGATGAGTGTGGCTTCTGCCGTGATGAATAAGCTAGTTTCTAGAGAAATTCTAGTCTTTTCCTACTTATTTTCAAGTGCTAATTGGTTTTCATACTTCCATTATCATGTGTGACTTGTTTTAAACTATGATTTGAGCTCAAACAACTTTTAAAAAGGTTTTTTTCTTGGGATCCTAATGTTTTAAACTAATTACTTTTAAACCCTTAGGTTGTGATAATTTTTACTTAGAATTTTAACTGATCTGAATTATCACAACAGCATATTAGAGTGTTGTCCTAATAATGTCAAAGCGAACATTATAATTGTGTTGTGATCTTGTTGTCATAGCTTTCCAAGACCAATTTCATGAGCATGTTGTTTTTCCATCTGATGTCCAATTTGAGCAATTCAAGTGTTCACATGTAGCTAATCCAGCCACCCATCTATTAGTACTAGTTTTAATAGAAAACATATCATTGTTTTCAAATTAGACATTCGGGTGTAAAAGGTTACATTTTCTACTTCAAATAAGTATTAGGGTGCCCAAAACCTCTAATAAGGTGCCAATAGCCTAAGGGCCACTTAAATAAACTCAAATGAACCACGATACATTTGATAGAACATATAAACACCTATACAAACATCCCAAACATAATACGACCATTAAAATCCTGAATTACCATTAATTAAGGGGGTAAATGCATAATTCGTCCTAACATCTCTTGGCTAATATCAATTACATAATCACCACAATATGCACACTTGCTCCAATATTTTGGTCACTCATATAAATATTCACACATTTATATCAAAATACATTGAAATAGCAAATATAATTTCATGCAAGTGCGACTAAATG